TTTGGGCATTAGTCATCACAATGGAATGCAGGGCATCAACCAATAGGCATGCAGCTTTCCTCTATTCTTCTTGCTGATTGGTTGTTGGGATTTAACTGAATTAACTGCATTCCATACTGGCAGTATATCTATATTCAAGTGTTTTGGTAGGTATTTCAAGCTTTCCTGCTCCAACATTGGAATGCTGGGCATGCACGCTTCTTTTTATTTTGAAAATCAACTGTTTGCATTATACAATTAAAAATCCTAACCAATAATGTAGGGAATAGCTATCCAACTGTTGTAGTCTTAGTTGTATGTTACTTCATACTATAGTTATATCAATGTAAAGCATTGTTTTCCCTTGTGTTTCTCATTCTTTCCCTGCCATGTCGTAAAATGTGGTGAAGCCATCGCTGTATTTGCTCCGAAGCAAATGTCGGCCTTTCTAGTTAAACATAGCTTATTCAAATAAGGACCTCATTTGCATAATTTATGAGCAAATGCTAGAATGGCATTTGTTGTTAAGATAAGACTGTCTTTTGGTGGAGAATATGATCAACTGATATAATTCATGGAAATGAGGATGCTATGTGTATAATCTGGGGGAATAATATATAATTTTTCAGTCATAAACATTAACATCATTTGGCGAAGGTATGCGATCGTGGAACTCTAGTTGAACCAATGTTCACGTTTGATACTTGTCTGATCCTGGACCACCAGGCGGCGCAGGCAGAAGACCTGTGACATAGGTTGTACACTTCTTCTAATCCAATTGGTCATGAAATCGCTACTCTGTTGACTTAGTAGTACATAAAAGAACATCCCCATCGAAAAGAAAATGAAAAAGCAGCCAGAGGACCAATATTCACCCATTCATTAAATTCGGCAGGTTGTTCTCTGCATGTCAATCATTAAAAAATCACGACATTTGTCATTCGTTATCTACACCATATACACTACAGAGAAAATCAGATCAAGTTTACAACCTACGCCTACGTTAACAAATGTGGGGTTGTGTGGCGTAGCGGTAGCATCTTCTGCCCGGAACCAAGAGGTCCCGGGTTCGAACCTCACCTGGTCACCGATCCTGTGCCCTTGGGAAAGGAACTTTACGCGACTTTCCTCACTTCACTCAGGTGTAAATGAGTACCTAGCTTCGGCTAGGGACGTCCCTCGGATAGGACGTTAAATGGAGGTCCCGTGTATGGGAGAGCCACACCCCACGCACATTAAAGAAACCACCACACCTTTCGAAAAAGAGTAGGGGCATGTTCCGGTGTGCGATGGTGCAAATACTTGTCTGATTGTTCACTACGGACTCCATGAAGAGTAGTGTGAAAGTCACAAACAAAACAGACAAACAAACAAACAAACATGTCAACTCTTTATCATTCTTTTACTTTTCCACAGCGTCTCCATTCAAGCAGTGCCAGAATGGTGGAACCCTGACCCCAGGGCCTGAAGATTCCGGACTTTACATCTGCGCATGTGCTGATGGATGGCATGGTGTATTCTGTAATCAGGGTAAGTACTTTATGAACTGTAATGAATGACTAAATAAATGAATGAATGGGTGGATGAATGAATGAATGATAATGTTTATAATTTTAACAATATTTTGTGCCAGGTATGCACAGTCCATATTGACTGTAGACCAGAGTGTAGTACTTGATATCACGGCTCATTTGATACAGTGTATACATTGTGACAAAATGTTTGCAAGATAAGGTCAATTTTTCACATTTAAGGCTGTTAATTGCTATAGAGTGCCATAAAAAGTGAAGCTACTTAGCAACAGTTGTGATCAAGATATGTTCCTCGGCTGTTCTTATCACCCACCTTATTTTGATCAATAAAAAAATCACCTTGATACTTAACTACATAACTTTGAAACAGAGTGTACCGGTACGTACGGTCCTGACTGTGGTATACCCTGTGGACATTGTTACGGGAATCAGATCTGTGACAGGTTCACCGGGAGATGTCCGACCGAAGGAACTTTAGTGTGTGCGGCTGGATACTATGGTGACAAATGTGATCGCGGTAAGAATTATTTTTGGATATATACAACATAAATACAAAGAAGAACTAATTTAGAGCGTTGTTTCTGTTATGTACAGTACCAGGCCATGTGTAATAACGTGGTAGGAGAAAGAAATATTACATTACCATATAGTCAAATTTACATGTACATTGTTACCTTCGCCAAGAAGGTTATGTTTTCAGAGGCGTTCGTGTGTGTGTCTGTGTGTGTGTGTGTGTGTCTGTGTGTGTGCGCGTGTGCGTGTGTGTGTGTGTTTGTGTGTGTGTGTGTGTGTGTGAACACGATAACTTGAGAAGGCTTTGATGAATTGCCTTGATATTTGGTATGTGGGGAAGTCTTGATGAGACCTCGAAATGAATAGATTTCGGGTAACCTGGCGGCTTGTTATGGTACTGCAGCGGAACTTCCGGTTTCCGATCTGGACATGCTAGGGTCATGATATTAGGGTGGCAAATGGCTCTTGTGTTCGGGAAGAAGTGACGTAAGTTTGGGCCACCTAGCAACTTGGGAACTCCAGGGTCGTTTCTTTGAAAATGTTTGAAGTAAGTTAACTCAAGAAACGGTTGACGGATTGTCGTTATGTAGGTAGCTTAAGTGATGCTTAACATAATGAAATGGCAACTCAGGATCTAATTTACATAATTAATGGCGAAATTCTATAAATCTGCTTCGTTCCATGATAGGACCATTCAAACTTACGACATATGTAATTAAGGGGAAGAGGACCCTTTGGGCAAATGTTAATTATGTAAATTTTGACCAAATTTGCATAATTAATGAGAAACTTTTATAATTCTATACTTTTGAAAGTCAGGTAAACATGGACATCATCAAACATAACTTATTCCAATGCGAACCTCATTTGCATAATTTATGAGGAAATGCTAGAATAGCTTTCTTTGTTAAAAATAAGACTGTCATTGGCTGTCAATATGAACAACTGATATATTTCATGCAAATGATGGTTTTATTTGCATAATCAATGAGAATGAACAATTTGTAATTCGTCGATCATAAAGGTTAACATTACATTTGTATTTGGCGAAGGTATGAGGTCGTGGAAGTTTTTTATTCATATCGAATTGACAGAATATCATGACATGATATGCTTGAATAATTCTCCAACATATGGTTCATAACCTGTCTTTCTACGTACGTCAATACGTTAATTTTAATTGATAAATCCAGGCGTAAAAAAAGACTGATGAAAAGTTTGCATACTTTTTCAGAGTGTCCAGACGGTTTGTATGGATCTGACTGTACCCAAACCTGTCACTGTGCAAACGGAGCAGACTGTAACAAGACGACTGGAGTCTGTAATGGGGAGTGTGTGGACTTCTGGACTGGGGAAACTTGTCAGAACCGTACAGGTGTTTAAATTACCATAATGATTGTTGGTCTTAGGGTATACCAAACATGCACATATAGAGCTATAGCTGGTTGTACAAAATTGTGTGCATGGTTTCATTTTACAAACACAATTTTTGTCTAGTAAAACCTTATACTATTTTTGGAAGATTTTTCAGACAGTTTCATTAAGTAACATTTCTGCTTTTAATTAGCGACTGTTTCGTACGAGGATCTCTTCACCAAGGAGGAAGGTCGCTACTTTGGCAGTACTTCTGACAACCACATAACAACGTACAGCAACATAGACGCAGAAGAGTGTGCTCGCCGCTGTTTGCAAGGTAACGGCAGTTATCACGGAGTCAACTCGACATGTCTGTCCTTCAACCATCGCCCTGCCGGATCGCCAGAGGGCGGCAGTGCACGGTGTTGGCTCCGTAGTTCTGACAAGGACACGGCGGCATCTCCTGGTCCTGAGTGGGACAGTTGGTCTGACCGAAATTACTACCAACGGAAACGTAGGTACACTAGTCTATACTTTTGTTTCACAAGGTTGTCAACATTTTTAATTCTGTTGTATGGTTATGATATTTTCAGACTAGAGACTCATTGTATGTCTTATATCACCTATTATCCATACATCGTCATTTTCACAATGGGTTTTGTTATCCTAACTGTCTGTTGCTTGCAGACATCCTGGCGCCCAAAGATTGTACTGACGTGTTCGCACTCGGGATTCAGTACAGTCATGTTTACACTATCGGCTACCCGCAACCATTCCAAGCCTACTGTGACATGGTCACTGATGGCGGTGGGTGGACGGTCATACAGCGGCGGCAGGACGGGTCCGTGCCGTTTGACAAGACTTGGACTGAGTACGAGCAGGGATTCGGCAATCCTACTGTAGAGTATTGGCTGGGATTAAAGAACGTCCACAGCCTGACGACACAGAAACAAAACGAGCTGTACGTGTACTTGGAAGACTGGGAAACGAACAGCCGATTTGCGCGGTACAGCACGTTTTCTGTGGGAAACACCAGCAGCAAGTACACGGCAACGATCAGTGGGTACAGCGGGACTGCAACTGATAGTTTGGACTCGTCTACTGATGATGGACGTCACAGCATCAACAACAGACAATTTTCTACAACAGACCAGGATAACGATGGTATCAGTACCGACTGTGCGGGTCAATACGGACAAGGAGGCTGGTGGTACACTCCAAGTTGTGGTTACGCCATGTTGAACGGACAGTATCTGACAGGCTGCTCAGTACCTTCAGCTTCATGCTCCAGTGCAGATGGAATCGTCTGGTACACTTGGAGGCGTTACCAGTATTCCTTGAAAAAAACGATCATGATGATTAGACCAGATAATTTTTCCGGTACGTGCTTAAAGTCGTACGTGTTTCAAATGTTTTAAGTAAATATTTCTTCAGGACGGAAATATTGTTTGGGATGGCTTACTTGGAACTCCAATAATTTATTATATATTAAATCTATTATATTGTGTCTACCAGAGCTTGGCAATTGATAGAACAGAACAACAATGCCTGTCATTGCACTTTGTTCTTACAGCCTCATCATTCAGACCGTGCCAGAATGGTGGAACCCTCAAGTCAGGACCTGTTGAGTCAGGACTATATATCTGCACATGTGCACACGGATGGTACGGTGCATTTTGTGACCAGGGTAGGTCATCTATCTTTTGAATACAATAAAATGGCGATGTTATGGTCTACTAGACAGTTTCATATATAAAGTAGCTGCATTCTGGCAGGTATAACTTATTGTTCACTAATCAACGCACCTTTTTTTGGAAATCCATCTACTCGTAACACTAAAACGCTGATAGTTTGGTAGTGTCACTGTGCCAGGAAAATATGTTGCATATCGTAACGTTCATTTACTTAGCTAATCCTTGATTTTATTTTAGTGTGGACACTGTTGGTAATACTGAAGAAATATCTGCAGCCATTTTGATGGAAAATAAGCTATTGTAGTCAAAGACGCTGTAACAGAATAGGTTTTGGTTTCTTACTGTCTTCAGAAAGTCCCAAAGACGTGACAATGAACGTAATCACAGTGAACTCTACAGCCCTCCACGTTACCTGGACGGTAGGAGTATCCGGTAACCTCACCATCATCGACTCCCAAGTACGCTACAAACAGAGTGACACAGAGGACTGGGGAGTCTGGGCGTCAACTGGAGCCTCCATTGGGAGCGGCGATGTCTACATTTACAACCTACGACCAGGAGCCATGTACGATGTTCAAGTGCGGGTGAACACCTCGTTAGGGTGGAGCGATCTTAGCACTGGGAGGGGAACTACAGACGAAACACGTAGGAAATCTTATCATCTCTAGATATTACTGTACACAACAATTAATAATGCATTCACGTGGAGCACGGCATCATTTGAATTTGCTGCCTAGTGCTCCACCGTGTATTGCTGTTGCAACCTGAATAGATACATATAGTGAAGTTGAATGTGGATACTATATCGGTTTAGTGTGTACCAGAGATAATGCTTCTAGGCCTCTGCATTTTGCATTTGCAGCTCCCGGTGTTCCCCGCAATTTGGCAGCCGTACCAACCTCACACAACTCTGTCCGCCTGACCTGGGGTCATCCGATAGAAACAAACGGGGAGATTCTCAACTACACAGTACAATATGGAGCGTCGGAGTCGTGCGTTGAAGATGCTTTTCTCCTTCAAGTTACGACGGACGACAGCAGCACCACTACTAATATTGGAGACCTAGACCCGTACACAAACTACGCATTCCGGGTGCGAGGGTCAAATAGTGCAGGAGAAGGCAACTTCAGCGACTGTTACATCACAAGGACGCTGGAATATTGTAAGTAGTGCACTAAAAAAGGCCCTTTCGAAATGAAGCAAGTCAACTATATATACGTATATATACGATATGATCAGAATTACGTCTTAATTCCTGCAAGAACTGAGAAATTCAAAAGATCTTTCCTGCCTACTTCCATTGTTTCCTGGAATAACTTGCCATTAACTACACGAGCATCAACATCAATTGCCATCTTTAAAAAAGAGTTGGAGACGTTTTATCACAGCCCTCACACTCAACCTCACTTTTTCTACGGTCCGAGAAACCCAGCTATCCACCTTACCAGACTCAGACTCAACCGCAGTCAGTTAAACTTTCACCTGTTCCAACATCAATGTGTGCCCAGTCATGCGTGCAAATGTGGTCACTCCAACGAAACAGCTGTACACTACTTCCTACACTGCCCACTGTACACTGACGAACGTATTGACATGTTATTATCTCTAACTAACATTCTGCCATTTGACACAAACAACGTCACCGACAACACTTTATGTTCAACCATTCTCAGGGGTAACCCCTCATTGTCGTTTGTCAACAATTGTAAAATATTTGATGTGGTTTTCAACTTTATTTTGCAGACAGGACGTTTTGTTTGATTTAGTTGATTCATTTTACACACCAGCTCATTATGTACCCTTGTCATTTCTTCTTATTATTATTATTACTACTTTGTTTTATTGTTTCCTTTTATGTGTGAGGAGAGGGCTGAGATAAGTTTTATAACTTTTTGCCTCATCCTCGGAAAATAAATGTGAATAAAATAAAATATATACGTTTGTTAACACCCATGGAGGATGATCACAGTGATCACAGAAACGATCATCCAAGGTAATTCTTAATATACAAAACAACAGTCCTATATGCATAACATCCGAAGTTTATAAATCTTCAAAGAATAATTGCGATTGCTACTAATAATAGATAAACTGTCAGTCTTATGCACTTCTAATCATTAAGGCCTTACTTGATATAAGTTAACTGAAGTTCCCCCATCGATCAGGAAAAGGTCTAGGGACTAGGTAGGTAGGTAACTGAAGACATTTAGAGATGATTGTCAGGAAAGAAATTATGGTCCATCGTTGTGTGTAACTGCTTCGTAACAGCATTTGTAGAAACAATAGTGGTGCGTTAGCATTCCATTGTAAACCGATATAACTTAAATGTTATGATTCCCTTCTAGATCAACCTGTTTCTGCAATCGTTGGCGGCAGTGTGGCTGCTGTACTGGTGGCTATTCTTGTGACAGTAGGGATAGTGTGTCATAGGTAAGTACGTAAAGCCTCTATTGACATTATAGATGGAAAACGTAATCTATTGTTTTGTGTCATGGCTAATTATATGCACTATTTGTGCAACGACTGATGTGACCATTTGTATGTTAAAAATATCTAAAGACAATTTTCTGGTCATTCTTTTAATGTAGTAAATGGAATAGCATTCGAGTCGGGGGTGTGTCCACGCCGGCGCCGTGTACCCATGCACATTCGCCGGCGATTTTGTGATGGCTTACACGAACGCTACGCCGAAATGTGGCTGTCGCTGACGAAAAATGGTTGCTTGTTTTGAATCATAGACTGGTTCTAGCTATTTGTTGGTGGTACCAAGCCTCACTTTGTTTGGTTTTGTGCTAAATTAAATGCTGCAAGCATGAAATACTGACGAAAAAATGCTATGAAATGTCACTAAATGTCAATTATCAGATTTACTCATACATAATGCTTTTAGTATTGCACCCCTGAAATTGACTGGATGCTTTAAAGGAAAAGGAACGCCCAAGACGACCAGGACCCCTCAGGTCCTCAGATAGACCTGGCGATAATGACGGAAAACGAACCGTCCATTCATGAATCAGCTGAGAGTCCTACAGCAATTGAGGAGGACATTTCACCTTATGAATCGGTAATAAACTTTACTGCACATGTCAAGTTCTTCCCTTTTGCATTTTACAACCGATCTTGATGTTAACATTTCACGGCTTGTATACTTAGGGCTGTTACTATTAAACTGAAATGGTTACGTTATAAATATACATTGCAAGTCACCGATCGATACCCTTTTTGGTGATCAATATTGTAGGTATATATAATGTCTTTCATTATCTATAGTCAAGAGTATCAGAAATCAGAGTAGCATGTCTGTCCCAACTTAAGTCTGGCAGACGTTAACGACGCTTTTCATGTATGACAGGCTGTTTACAGCATCATAGACCTTGTCACCGTTGACGACGTAGTGGAATTCCTCAAAGCCAAGGGATTTGGCCAGTATGCTGCGGAATTTAGGCGTAAGTTCAGTTATACTTATAATTATATTGCCTAGGGGAAACAAAAGAAACCTGTGTCGCTGCAGCTACAAAAAGTGTTTAATGGCAAGATTCGATCTCTTACTGTGCATTTTAGTTCGGCAGATTGGGTTTATTTGTAGCTTGGCAACGGTCTTGAAACAGACGTTGATGCAGACCAAACAAAAGTTGTTGTTTGGGTTTAGATGATCCGATGCCACTGGAAGACAGGTGAAAAATATCCAGACTATGCATAATGTACAAAATGAGCAATAAACTGATGCAATTACCTAGTACCAGCTCAAAAAAAAGAACAAGTAATATTCATGCCTTCAAGTTATGAACCAAGGATTGTGGTGTTCAAAAACACATATTTCCCTAGAGCTGTCTTCTGGGAATCTTCACTTAATTAAGCTTTTTAACAAAGTTTGGGTTTAGGTGTTCGAACGCTAGGTGTAACAAGTTCGAAGTAGCCAGCTGCCGCCGCGCCGCGTGCCTGCCAAGCTGGCGTGTCACGCCGAGAGGCGGTTATACCGGCTATACAGATACAGCTGTTGATGTGATTGTCTTCAGGACACAAAGTAGACGGAGAAGGAGCCATGTCCCTGACCAGCGAAATGCTCGGGGAGCTCGTTCCAGAGATCGGACCGAGGGCAAAACTACAGAAGGCCCTTCAAGAGCTGAAGGACAATCAGGTATGGCTTCTTTACCTCATCGAAAGAACAATTTTGGGATTGCATTGTTTTTCACACGATGCCATATATATCTATTGTTCTTCAAACAGTAAGGAAGTTAAACATGGAAGTATTTTAATTTGTTCCGACACAAATTTTACGTTGAAGGTGGGTTTGGGCTTGACTGTCAGTAAGAATAAAACGAAAGAAAACACTTCCTTCTTGCAGATGAGCCGGAAAATTGGCTCGTACGCACTAATTTGTTTGCTATCATTTGACTTCTAGGAGTCCGCTGAGAGCGGCAGACCACACCACCCTGGCTGGGAAATCCCCCGCTCCAGCCTGAAGCTCGGTAAAATCCTGGGGAAGGGACAGTTTGGGGAGGTCCGTATGGGGGAGCTGAGGAAGAGAGGCGTTACCCAGACTGTGGCAGTCAAGACACTGAAAGGTGCATTTTATACATGTCGCACATTTAACAAATCTATTAAGCATTCAGCAGAAAATATGCCAAATGTAAATAATGAATCATTAGAGGTCTAAAATTTACCTGGGGATAAACCCTTGGTTTTTCATTGAGCATTTTGTATCTAAGCTCACATCTATAAAAGGTCATGATCCATGAATTATAGTTAAAGAGTTTGACTTGTTCCAACACAAGGAAGAAACTCACCATAAATTTTCGGCTGATCCCGTCAACCTTCATCAGATTTTGTGATGCAGTCGCTGACTTTCCGGAAGTCGGAAACGTGATGACGTCAGGAGTGCATCAAAAGTGGTTGATGGGCCCTGATGTAGACTGCCTCCTTCACGCCTCTCACAAAGTAATCCTGCTCCGTATCTAGAATGCGCACCTTGTCCAATGTAACTTTATGTCCGGGGGGACTCGATGTGTATGTATTGCGACACTTCCGATGTGTTTGAACTAGGGCGCCTGTGTTCCAAAAATCTAGTCTTGAGAGACCGTTCTGTTTCCCCTATGCATGTCTCTGGGCAAGGTCCTCTGATATTTTGACCTGCGCACCGAATGTGGTAAATCACGCCACACTTTTGTTCTTTGGGGGTTCTGTCTTTGGGGGCCACTAATAGCTGTCTTAACGTACGGGTCGGTTTGAAACACGTTTTTAAGCCATGCGTCCCGAAGATTCTCCGTAAAGCTTCAGAGGTGTTCTTAACATAGGGTAGAACTAGGGAGGCACGCGTCTGTGGATCTGAATATAACCCATGCATTCAGGCATAGAACTACTCTCCAAGCAGAGGTTGTTGGGGAAGGCGGACAAAAACCGGGCGCATGATAAAGAATGTTTAAATTATGGTGAGTTTCTTCCTTGTGTTGGAACAAGTCAAACTCTTTAACTATGGATTCTACCAACACAGATGAGCTTTCATTCGAATCCATGAATTATGATAGTGTGCTACTGTCTGTTATACAGTAATGTAAGAATTATGAATATGTAATTAGCACATGTCATCTTGGAAGTTGTTATGTTTTCTCAGCATCTGCAGAGGAAAAGGACAAAGAGGACCTCTTTGGAGAACTGGACATACTGGTCACAGTTGGTCGTCATGACAACGTCATCAGTCTGGTCGGCGCATGCACGGTAGAAGGTAAAAACTTCCACCTCGTTTCATTCTTGTATTTACGTAATGTCATTTTCATATTCAACAAAGAACTATAGCTTTCCAATTTTTTCATCCCGGGGACAAATAAATGACAAACTGAACATTTAAAGACAAAGTAGCTCAAAATATGCGTTCATGCACGAGTGACATGAATGTAACACAATGGTTGACGTGTTACATCTCTATTAAACTATCTTGTCTAAATGTTTACTCGTCAAAACAATCCGCCTCAGGCCCGCTGACACTTGTTGTTGAGTTCGCACCCAACGGACGTCTGAAGGACTGGCTGAGAAACAACCGTCCTAAGGAGCTGAAGCAAAAGGACATCAACATCGGCACCTCCAGGATTCTGTTGCCGATGGAACAACTGATCACGTTTGGTATAGACATAGCAAATGGGATGAGTCACCTGGCTGCCATGCAGGTACACATGTATAGAGCATTTTATTGTGTCACGGGGCTGTGATTTGTAGATACGCTCAATAAGGCTATAGGGTAGTAGCGTGACCTTATACTGCAATTATTTTTTTTTATTTACAAATATCAACAAGGACAATACAAGACAAGGTGGTGAGGTACTCTAGCTATAGCTAATTTTAGCCTCACCACCAAACATAGAATACAATTACAGTACATAACAAAAAACAGAGAACAGCAAATGGGTGGGATGGGTCGTTAAATAGTACAAAGAAATGTTTAGTAGGCTATATAATAAATCAATCGAGTACAAACCGTTTGGTGTCAACAATATAAGTTTGAGTGGTTAGCAAGATATTACAGTTTGTATCATAGTATAAATCAGGTAATCCTCTAAGTAAAATATCACATAACAATTGTTCAGACATATTGAAAACATCAAAATCAAAGCCTACCAAATTCTGGAGATTGCTGAGTAGGGTGACTCTTTGTTGATTATATAAAGGGCAGTGTAAAAGAAAATGTATGACACTCTCACAACGAGACCCGCAGATACAAGCAGCACTAGGGGCTAAATTTCTTAAGAATAAGCTGTGGTTAAGACTACAGGTCCCGATGCGGAGACGCGTGAGTAATGCGCAGGTGTACCTGGGGCCGATGCTAAAATGTCGGTAAAAAGGGCAACGTACTGACTTTACTAAGTACTTCTTATACAATGAAAGATTCAGAGATCGAACAGCTACATCAAGACCATTCCAGTGATGCGTAGCATATGGAATGAAAGACTTTTTATACCTAGTTGTAAGACAAAGCGGTAGCCGTACTGCAATTATTGCATTATTTTATTGATGACAGCCTCTGAAGACCTCCAAAGAAGTGCGCGCAAGTGAATAAAAAAAATTCCAGCCGAAACTTTCTGCGAAATTGCAGGATTTGCGGTAGTAGATAGCGACTTCTACGGCAAGCCGCTATTCCTATTGTCGCTAGCTACTATGGAGAATGGCACCCAGGTCAGAGAGTCGTCGGAAGTGATTTTTAGAACAGCTGAAAAACAGTGCGCGCGTGGATGTCATCCATAAAATTAAATCAGTGTGGCTTAATATATAGTAACATTTTTATAATAACAGCATTTCAAGAGGCGTACAACTGTAGATTCCAACGCATGTTATGTTAATCCGGGGATAGAATAGAACTAAGCGACCATGTTGAAATAGAAAAAGGACGGGGTGTCCTTTTTTTATTGTACAATGTAATTTATTTATCCAGGATAAAATGCACTCGGTTAAACTCCACTAATACAAGATGAGGCGACTAGCATCCTATGTTTTTCCATGTGGGACCCTTTCATGACACGTCTTATTTCGTCCCTCCAGTGCGTCCACCGTGACCTTGCCGCCAGGAACGTTCTCCTTGGGAAGGACCTGACGGCCAAGATATCAGACTTTGGTCTGTCACGGGATATCTACGAGGAGTCTGAGTACGTCAAGAGCACACAGGTAGATTTACGTGCATTCCATCTACAATAACAAGTGGGATCGTGTGGTGTAGCGGCAGAGTGCTCGACTCGGAACCAAGAGGTCCCGGGTTCGAGTCCTGACATACCACCGATCTTGGCAAAGGCACTTTCCTCACTTCGCTCAGGTGAAAATGAGTATTGCATTGTCCCGTGTTGGTGGCGGCATTAATATAAGTTGTAAAACCTTGAGTGTACCGTCACCACGTCTTGTGAGTACATGTTGGAATATTTTTAAAAAATAAGAAGAACAAACATATACAGCAAGTCCCCTTCTCCATGTATGGGAATTCAAGTTACTCCATAAATCTTGCCAAAACCCACATCAGCATCTGCTTACATTTGATGTTGCTATTGAGCACCTGACCCAAACAAAACACGAATTGCAACCGGTGTCGATACATTTTTATTAAACCCATTTATTAACCACTATGGACCAAGCAGTATCATATGTTTGATATTTCTCCCAAAGCAATGCTATAAAGACATCATTGTATAAACATGTGACTATTTCTAAGCTTGTAAGCGAGGAGGTGATAGTATCATGTCCATAACTTACGTATACCATTGTTGCTTATAAACCTGCAATTCTCCTGCAGTCTTTCAGTGTCACTGACGAAAGGTAGTGGATGCTACCTGCATGAAACGTCTGACCGTTTCCAAAATCACATCCAGATGCTTGAGTAAATGCTTTTTGGCGTATACAGACTTGATTATTTATCACATTTATTTAATACGTATTTTTCTTATATGGAAAAAAATGAGATAAGGACATGTTATCTCATTTTTTTTCATATAGAGTTTGTATGGACTTCTTATTATATGGAAAAAAATGAGATAAGGACATGTTATCTCATTTTTTTTCATATAGAGTTTGTATGGACTTCTTATATGTGATATAGAGTTTTGATATGGAAAAAAAGGGGATAACTATTGGAGAAAGAAATATCACGAGTTTTTTAATTATCACGTTTTCCAGTGAAAACAAATTTACGTACTAAATAAATGAGATAAAAAGCTAAGTCTGCGTATACTATTGTTGATTTGTATGAACTTTCGCCGCCAAGCACAATGAATATGTCTTGGAGTAATGATGCGATGTCGAAGTCATTTGCTGAACATAAAGCCAACAATGTAATGTGTTCTGAGTTTATCTTAACATCCCCTTTTCCCGTTCAGAGCCAGCTTCCCGTCCGATGGGTGGCATACGAGTCCCTGTTCTATCAGGTGTACACCACCCAAAGCGATGTGTATGTATTGTACATACATTATATGGCAGTTTTAGTCATCTGCTCACAGTTAACACTCAAGTAACCTCCTTGTCCTTGTCCTAATACATGTCCTTGTTTATATTACTGTAACAGTAGTTGACTTTTCCACGTTTCAGATGGTCCTTTGGAATCCTTCTGTGGGAGATTATGACAATGGGTAAGAGTGCCGTATGTAACGGGAGGGGTCCTAATTCCGACCTATGTTCCATTGATAATAGTTTATCTTACCAAAAACCCGCGCAACATGAGCTATAATATTGACAGATAAAAGATCACAACGATTAAAGCTTCACAGCTGTATATTTCACTTCAGTGTAGCGCCTTACACCCAAGCGTAATGGTTCACGAAACTTACGGCAGGATTTTGGTCATTTTGCCGGTGGAACGTTCTATCGCAATAGGGGTGCCCTAATTCCGACCTAGTGTTTAACACAGGTCGATCTGAGAAGAGAGTTTAGAAATTAGAATACACAAATTATGACTAAAACAATCTACAACTGTTTTTCTGGCACAAACAAGTCATCTTTTTATGATTACGCGACTTGCTCCAAAATGGCTGTTTGAAAAGCAAAACCTGCATTTTTGACACGCTCGTCAACCCCCGAACAAGAGTCGAATTTAAACAGATTTTTCACTCATCTGTTGTCAGGGTGTACGAACTAAAACAAACTTTGTGAGATTAACGATATCAACACAAAATCTTGGTCCATTCTTGTGGTTATTTTTAGGCACGTGCTCCCATGCATAACGCCGCAACAAGGATTTTTCAAACTAGTTCGGTATTAGGGATGGGTCGGAATTTGGGCACCCCCCGTTATAGTTTGATGCAATCTTTAAACAATGGACCTTTCCTGATCGAACACGTCGAACCCTCCTGCTCTATTTCGAACACCTCGGTCAAAATCAGCGCGGGGAATCTAAGAGCAGCAAAATGAGTTGATGTCTACTTGATAAATACTCCTTGTTTTACCGGTGAAATTGACTTTGTGACATCGGAGGGAATTTCAAGTTAACCAAAGACGTTTTGTCATTCTTGTGTTTGTTTATGAAGCCCTCATAATTGTTTATGTCCATGTTTTCGTGCTTATGTTTCTACTTGTATCACGAAGCCCTTTATAAGTTGCGCCCTTCCTCGTGACCACCCGAACTGTTTTTTTCTCATTTCGTTTTTTTTCCTGGTTTGTATGTAGCTGCGATGCATGCAGCAAATGCCGTGGAAAACCTGTCACAGATAAACGTACTCTGCGTAACACATGCATCGGCTGTTTGTCAGCCTACCATGTCACGTGATGTTATGCGACGCATCCCGCGTCCGCATTGAGCGAAAACATTTTGCTCTCATTAAACTAACCTTGTCTCCTCCTCAAATAAGTTTTACTCTGTGGATGTGTACTTCAATGAAGATAGCGTGACCCTTTTTTGTGGATGCTGAGAGAGTTTTCGCTGCCAAAACCTCGACCCTATAGTTGAGCGGCAAAACCGACATTCTGCCGGCGGCGGCCTGCGCGGTCCTTCACGGGCTGATTTTGACCGAAGTAGAACAGGGGACGGGGCTTATGGTGTTCGACCGGAAAGGTCCATTGAGGAACATTAGAACGTATACTTGACACAGGTTCTACATGTATTTATTCCGTCAAAATTTCTCACGTCAACAGCTGATAAATATGGTATTACATTTTTTAATCATTGACTTAACCATGATACCAAAGCTGTTCTTTGACAGTTCGTCCGTGAGTAAACACATATTTTGAATGTATTCGCGGTCTATGCCCACAAAAGCGATGTTTACTACATACAAAAAAATTAATAAACGCTTTATTTTCTTCTTCCAGGTAAACAACCGTACGGCCGGATGACAGGCAAAGAGCTCATGAAGCTTCTCCCAAGTGGCTACAGGCTGGAGAAACCCGCTCTGTGTCCCCAAGATGTGTACGTTTGCAGCCTTGCATATTTTTTATTGATTTATTTTTATTTATTGAAATTGCAAGAGTGCAATTGCTAGTGTTGTGTCCCGCACATAGAAACGAATGTAGACAGGACAGACAATACTAATTTTCACTTGAGTCTAGTGGGGAAAGTCGTGTAAAGTGCCTTTCCCAAGGGCACAAGATCGGTGGCATGTCGGGACTCGAACCCGGGACCTCTTGATTCCGAGTCGCGCACGCTGCCGTTGCACCACACGACCCCACCCGTCGTCATCAGCTCTTTTGTGTAACTTGACGGAATTCCGAGACGCTTTACGTTTTCTTTTTATTTACTGACCGATACAGATACACATTGAACACCGACGCCTCTTGAAACATTTCTGTACCCAACAGTTACGAGGTGATGAAGAGCTGCTGGGAAACTCTTCCTGAGAACAGACCAACTTTTCCAGAGCTGAAGGCAACTCTGGATCGGATCATTCAAGATCACAAGGTAAAGTTTTACATAGAAGGTTTTATATTTGTTTTTATGTTCAAGATCACAAGGTAAAGTTTTACATAGAAGGTTTTATATTTGTTTTTATGTTCAAGATCACAAGGTAAAGTTTTACATAGAAGGTTTTATATTTGTTTTTATGTTCAAGATCACAAGGTAAAGTTTTATATAGAAGGTTTTATATTTGTTTTTATGTTCAAGATCACAAGGTAAAGTTTTATATAGAAGGTTTTATATTTGTTTTTATGTTCAAGATCACAAGGTAAAGTTTTATATAAGATGTTTGAATTTTTCATGGTCAAGATCACACGAGGTAACGTTTTATATAAATGCATTAACTTTATCAATTTAAAGGCTAAGTAAGAATGGTCTTCTTCAGAAATATCCCATTTCCAATCTCTATTTACCGGATCACTGAGATCAAAGAGTGTTTTTTTACTTTCGCAGACATATGCATCATTGCTGAATTAGGAAACCACACATGGGAAGAGCGGGAAAGAGGAAATTTTTTCTGCCAAGAGGGAAACATTATATTTTCTCATTTTGTAGATACATTAGGACCAGAATACAACCTTTGTTAATTATGTATCTAGGAATATCACGCGTACGGAATTTAGTTTCACTGAACGAAACCGTACATTGCTTATAGAACATTTTAATAATAAGAATGATGTATATATCAATGCATGGATGTATTCTGTAAAAGTGCAACATTGCATAAGAATATATTAAGGATAACTAACTGCAAGACATTAATCAAGAAAAAAAGAATAAATTGCTTACATTCATATTTGTAGCCTCCAATGGCCTGGTAACATATAGCATATACAACCAGGTAATATATGATAGAATTCCATGTCACATTGACGTATTAATACATGCTTTACATCAGGACGTATTAATTATTACGTTATTCTGTCACGTTAACCTGTTAATTGGATATTTTAAAATTTGTTAACATTGCAAGTTGGTTATGCTATTCAGAAATAAACTCTTGTAGCAAGGAAGCAAGCCGAGAAGTTTCATTCATTTTCATTTATTTATTTTACCAGCAGAATACACTCAGGTTACATTAAAAAACCTGTTTTTCAGGTAGTGCTGGGCATACAAGTACAAATACTGACAAACATTATACATTACAAGAAACAGACATAATCCAAAATGACATACAGTATAACAAAGGAACTCATTCATTTTCCACTATACATTCATGACATTACAATCCCTGACTGAATTGTACCAGCCCCACTGTCTGACGTTGCTTAAGTGACAAGTTATTCCACAGTTGGGGGCCGTAGAATTTTAAGCTCCCCTTGTAGCCGTTCAAACTTGCTACAGGGCAGTTCAACAGATAAGGGTCCCAGTCCGCAAACAGTTTGACAGCCGTGCGAGTTCGAGCTCTTATGATCGGTGGAGACTTCCACCTGAACATGTCAGAGATGTACAATGGAGCTTTACCTCGCACAGCTTTGAAAACTGAAAGAAGACTGAGTTTTTCTGTTCGATGTCTCAGAGACACCATCCCTGCCTCCGCTAACAGTTTGTCAACTGGGACATGATCTCGAAGTTAATAACTTACATTCAAACGTACATATGAAACAGAACAATATTTTGGATAATACAAAAGCTTTGTCATCGCCGAGCCAGGACTAACCTAAGGATTAGCTATCTCTCATTACAAATTGAAGTTGGCAGGTACAACTAGACCCCTGTAAAGGACAGAATTTGTACTGTCTGTATTTTATGTTAGAAAGTAATTCTTTTAAAAAATGGTATTGACGGGGAGCCCCCTCGATAAACCCTTAGGTTTCATGGGGCACGGTTTCACGGACACATTATTTGACCATTACTGCTTTTTAAGTTGCTGCCACGTAAAAGTTGGTATTGCATATAAAAAAAGAAATATCACTCCGTAATCCATGACCAGGCGAAGTCACATTGAAATCACATTGCGTTCAGACGCAAATCGCGATGCGGGGAAACCGATTCGAAACCACCTCTAGAAGTGGCTTGGGATCGAGGCGCTTTCAATGTGATTTCGGAGCGTTCAGATGGAGCCACTTGAAACCGGCTTCGGGGTAAACCACATGTAAACCGCCTTGGGTGATTCCGTTTAGACACGGCCAAAGAATGTGGCATCAGTGGTATTATTTTTCACAACTAGAAAGACCGACATTTGCTTTCGAGCAAATACAGCGATGGCTTCACCACACATTTTACGACATGGCAGGGAAAGAGTGAGAAACACAAGGGAAAACAATGCTTTACATTGATATAACTATAGTATGAAGTAACATACAACTAAGACTACTGTAACAGTTGGAAAGCTATTCCTACATTATTGGTTAGGATTTTTAATTGCATAATGCTGTTGATTTTCAAGATAAAAAGAAGCGTTCATTCCTCGCATTACAATGCTGGAGGAGGAAAGCTTGAAATACCTACCAAAACACAAGTTGAATACATGTACAGTTCATACTGTCAGTATGGAATGGCTCTGTGCAGGTGTTAATGAAGTTAACCCAGTCAAATCCCAACAGCCAATCAACAAGGAGAAATAGAGGAAAGCTGCATGACTATTGGTCGATGCCCTGCATTCCATTGTGATGACTCATGCCCAAATATGGTAAACACTGCACACTAACACAGTAATACATTTGCTATAACACAGCCAAAAAGCTCAAATAAAAACATGCTAAAAGCCTTTATCACAAAAATGAAAAAAAAAACCGCCTGGGGGTTTTTGCCCACTGTACATCCATACCAAATTTCAGGTCCTTAGGCCCCAAAATGAAGAAGCTGAATCCATTTAAAGAAATGGCAGGAGAAGAAACATGAGGAAAAACAATATGGTTTTGTGCTGAAGCCATAGTTAGTGTTATTTCCAGCATAATGCATATAGGACATGTTTGTGTTCAGTGTACATGTTGATATTGATGGTGAGTGTAGATATTACGGAGGGAGCAACGGGACAGTTACTGGCCTATTCACAACTTAGGCAGGCAGGCAGGCAGATATTACATGTATGGGTTACTAATAAGGTATGGGTGAGGAAATCAACCCGAAATGTTGATTCATAAAAACATGCTCAAGTGCAGGTCGTTATCTGTAAAAGCGTCAAGAGATGACAAATGCACGTTGAAATTTTATTGATTTTATTTATAAAGCATTTCATGCAAAGTTTGATCATGTACCCAAACAGGAACACAATTATATATAACTTAATAATGATAATTTAACACCAGGCATGCCGCACACAGACGCACAAACACACACACACACGCACGTGCACGCACACACACATGCACACACACGCACGCACACATGCTCGCAAACATACGCAAGCACGCACACACACACACACACACACACGCACTTTTAGACATAGGTCAATAGGTATATCTAAATTGAAATGCATACAGACATGATCAAAGATATGCACACCCACTCACGCCCGCATATGCACAGATCTATACAGATTCCAACACGTACATGCATATACAAATACACATGCACACACATACACATGAATTCAGACACAAAAAGACGTGTATACACACATTCACACAAAACACGCACAGATACACCAGACACTCAAAACAGGCACGTACACACACACACACACACACACACACATATATATATATATTAGCTATATAGACACACATACACACACATACGTACACAAACACAAAGGCACACATATACACACAAATACACAGGAACAAGATTGCACACATACATTGTACTTTGTACAATACTGTATGTATACACTCATACAAACACACACACACATGCATACATACATAAATACATACACAAGCCTACATACATACATACATATTACACACATGTTAATACACATGTACACACACACGCACAACGTTACATGCACACACACGGACATACTGTCACAAAATAATGTAACATTACAGAATATAAACATATCAACATAAAAGTAATTAAGTTACATTGCTATACAATTTTACAAAGTAACCCATCAACATTACATTTTGCCAAAATTGGAC